GGAGAGCCCCCAGCTGCCCACTGGAGTCCTGGGCCCTGCACAGCTGTGCCCAAAGGTCCCCCTCCCTCCCCTTCTCCGGACAGACAGGTGGGCTGTCCCTATCTCCTTTCACACAGAGACATCACCTGTGGTTTTCAAAAGGGCACATACCAAAGCTGGGGCGGGGGGGGCGGACATCCCTGCTGCGCCCCGACCCGATTCCTCTCTCATGCTGGGCCTGGGTGTAGGACCGACGTGCACCTCAGGCCCGGGGCGAAATTCCTGGGGACGGGGCACAACCCGCTGGCACGGCCCTCGCCATCACGGGAGGCTTCACTCTCGGCGAAGGCTCCAGGGGGCCCGGAATTGCCGGCTAAGCCAGACTCCCCTGCTGCCAGCTATGAAAACCTCAATGGCGCATTCCAGGTTAAAAGGTTTTCCAAAGGAACTCCAAGTCGGCCGTATGACTTGGGGTGAACTGGGTAACCCCCCGCTGCCATTCCCCCACGGACAGCAAGCCATCACGGGAGGCTTCACTCTCGGCGAAGGCTCCAGGGGGCCCGGAATTGCCGGCTAAGCCAGACTCCCCTGCTGCCAGCTATGAAAACCTCAATGGCGCATTCCAGGTTAAAAGGTTTTCCAAAGGAACTCCAAGTCGGCCGTATGACTTGGGGTGAACTGGGTAACCCCCCGCTGCCATTCCCCCACGGACAGCAAGCCCCCCATTAGATTTACCTGTTCCCTTGCCCGCCGCTAGTGGCAAAGCCTGCATTTGCCACTTCGCGAAAGGGGCAAGTCGAGCCTGATCAGCCAGCATTAACCAGCTCTCTGCCCATATCGCCTGGCTCCCTTCGCCCCAGGCCGCTGCTCCCAGGAGCTGAGGACAAGATCCCTATTTGGAGCACAATCCTCGAGAAGCCTCTTGTACGGCCCAACAAACTGTGGCTGCCTTTAGCTCCAAGAGAGGGAGTTTTCCAACCCAAGGACTCCTAGGCCAGTGCCCATTACTGGACATGGGGCCGCATGGGGTGGTCCAACTACCTAATTGCAAAGGGGAAAAAATTGCAAGGCAGCTCCCTCGCTCAGGTCTCCTTACAAACTCCAGGAGGGTGGAAGCCCAGGACGCCAGCTTCAGTTACCAGGAGAAAAATATGAAGCAAAGTCTCAAAAGGAGGAAAGGAAGAGCTACCCAGACATCCCTCCCCTCCAGCCGAGGATGGAATTTAGCGGGAACAATAATCCAGTGAAAAGGGGCAGCAGGTAGCCCCCGGTCCAAAGAAAAACATCCCACTGGCTGCAGCTCTCCACCGGCAAGGCAATTAGCGGCTCCCGATCCCATCAGCTCAGCTGCTTCCACTTGCTATTGTGTGAAAGTTATTTTACTCAAAGCTTCTGGTGACAAGTGTCTCCAAGGGGAAGTGGGAATTCGACAGCAGCTCGCAGTCTACGGCTAAAAATATCAGTTTGGTTACAGGGAGAAATTGGTGCGTGCTGCCCAGCAGGCCCACTTACTGAATAACCAGCTCTTGTGTATTTCCAATTAAAGCTGCAAGAAGGGACTGAGTCCAGGAAGCTACCTAGTGACCTCTCGCCGCAAGAACCCACTTAGAAAGGGCTTATGTGTTTCGGAAAGGAGAAGGCGCGAGGAAGAATCCAAGTCCCTTTGCAGCAAAGGGGAAAGGGAGATAAATGTTAGCTGAAAGGGTAAAACTGAGTGTCGCAGAGTGCGAGGCGGGTTCATAATACATTTACATAGCTCTAAAGCCATTTCCTCGTGCCATTTTAATTTAAAAAAAAAAAACTTTGATAGATTAAAGCCCGGGAAAAGTCCTAAAAAACCCACAGGATACATCAAACCGGCTACCATTCACTCAAAAGCCGACGGTTTAAACTCCGAGAGGCAGACATCCACCGCAGAGCCATTCACACCCTACCCCCAAAGCTGGTGGGGACAGGCCTCGAGGTTCTACCGTTCAGAAACTCCCGCCAGCAAATCTGAGGCAATTATTCTAGATAACAAAACTCACTATGCACGGGAGGTGGCGGGGAAGCCATGGTCAAGACAGGATTTTCGGCTCCCGCCTCATTCTCTGGCAAGCCAGGGGCTGATTTCCTGCTGCACTATACTGGGTTTATCCCAGGTAGTAATCCCGCTGTGAATAGGCCCAAAACCTTTAGCTGTGTAACTTTTACTGGACTATTGTCCCTGGGTGTTTGGAAGGACTTTATACAGACAAACCAGGCCAATCATTTCCCAAAGCTGAATGATTGCTTTGTGTATTCAGTCTCCACAGTTTCTGCCACTAGGTAAACACTGCGAGCTGAAGTCTTGTTTGAAATAAAGACCTTTCTACTTCATGGGCACATCCATTGTTTTAATATCTCCAGCAGCGGCCCTGCCAAGCAGTTCACTGCAGCTATTCCTCTTGAAAAGGCAAAGACCCTCTATTTCTCTCAAGACAGAGGGACATTTTTTGGCAGTGCACACTTCTTCCAGGCCAGGAAACTTCCAGTGAGAAGGATTCCACAGCTGCTCTTTCCACCAGGGCAGAGCGACTGTGCTAATCCTATCAATTAAACTATATGGCAAGGGTGAGATTTAAACATGCAGGAGCGCGGGAATTCAGATGCCAGGTTTCATATGACCTGCACCCTCCCTTCCCATTCTGAATCCGACAGGCATAGGTTAGAAAAAATAAACACGAGCCTAGCTAAACCTCTCCCGCACGTCTCTAGAGCTGTCCTGGCTCTCAGCTGCATCAGGAGTCCAAGAAGGTTTCCAAAAGTAAATTTAAAGGGTCATGCAAAATGGTTTGCTAAATGGCAGCATTTTTATCAGCACTGCTACAAATAAACCATGTGTGTGGACTCCGGCTCTCTGTGGTGCAGGGAAGCAGCATTTCGGATCTCAGCAGAAGGCACAGACAAAACAAACACACAACACCCTTTGTCAAGGGGAAGAGAGACATGAGATAAAAAACCTTCCCGCAGCACATTCCTCAGCAAGGTGAGGTCTCCAGTCTTGAGAGCTTGTGTCTCCCTTTCCTGGCCAGCCTCACCTTGCATCTAAGAACTGGTTTTATTACCACACAATGGTACTCATTACACAACTAAACCAGGAAAGGCACGGAACGCACACAGCCGCTGTACGAACAGCAGCACTTCTGGGAGACTGCCTTAGTGCCAGCTAAAAATCTGTCTGGTGCAACAGAAGTTGTACTAAGGGGCTGCTGTATCATTTCGTATCTTCGTATTGGGCCAGATGGGGAGGAACAAGTGGGCTTGCGGGAGGGTGCGGTGAAGCATGGCGCAGTGCCGGGAAGACACAGACACTACCCCAGAATGCAGCGAAGGGTATTTCATTTCTAAACCAGCCGGGCAAGTTCCAGGGAAGAAATAGGCATTAGCTGGAAAGCCAGTCGTCACGAGCACACCCCAGCATGCCGAACGAGGCCACCGCGGCACGCAGGGAAAGGAGAACAGCCTTATGGGATGGGGGCACACGCCACGGAGGGCAAAGATTCGCCCCAGCCTGGTACAAGGGGGGTATAAACAAGGAAAATCGAGGTTCACTGTCAGGAATGGCTCCCAGAGCAGAAGCAGAAACAGGACAAACCCGGGCAACATGGACTAAAGAAAACAGCACAAATTTAGCAAAAAATCCCACCCTTACAGGCAGCTGCGCCCTGTTGCGTCAGCTCGAGGGGGTTGGGTTTGGTGAAGGGAGATGGAAATGGAGTTTCTCACCGTCAGGGACTAGCCCCTTGTACAGGGCTGGCCTTACCATGAGATGAACTGAGGCGGCCGCCTCAGGTGCCAGACTGGGGGGGAGACACTAGAAACCAGAGTGTAGAAAATTGTGTCTGCTGCTGGTGCAGATGTAGGTAGCAGAGCAGCGCCAGGAGAGGAGTAGAACAGGGAGAAGGCAGAATTGAGACCTGGCAAAGTTTTGGCCCAAGCGAAGGGGCGTGGGGGCGTCATTTGAGCTCCCCGCCTCAGGTGCCAAAATGTTGTGGGTCAGCCCTGCCCTTGTAATACAGTGAAGGGCATGATCCTGACTGGCCATGAGGGGCAAGACTAGGTGCTGAAATGAGGGGTGCAGGGAGGGTGCTGCAGCACCCCCTGGCTTGAAGTGGTTTCCAGTATATGCAGGCTGTACAGTTTAGTTGAGTGGCGGTCAGCACTCCCAGTGTAAAAATTGTTCCTGCACCTCTGGGGGCAGGGAAGGGGGCAAAGGAGCCAGGAGCCCAGCCCAACACAGTTGTCAGTTCAGAGGGCCAACTTCCATGGGTCTTACAAGGCAACTTGCAGGAAACAACAAAAACACCAGCGCTCCCCCCCCACACACACACACATACCCCATTGCTCTGTCCCGCCTACAGCCTGCAGGGGTCACTAATTCTGCTGCCTGACATTAAGACACCTCACCCAGCTAGGCAAGAGGCAGCCCCAGGATTCCCGTGGTGGGAAAAGGACACAGCTCTGCCACGGTCTGGTGTGGGCAGAATGCCGTCCCCCCAGGCCAGCCGATCAGGCAGCTTCCTCCTGGGAGCAGCTGTCGATCCCTGGTTGGGGAACAGGGGGGTCGGCAAAGCTGGGCGGGGAACTAAGTGGGGAAGGGACAGAGCGGAGAGGGACTGAAGAGAGCTGGGGGACCCAGCAGGTGGGAAAAGGACACAGCTCTGCCACGGTCTGGTGTGGGCAGAATGCCGTCCCCCCAGGCCAGCCGATCAGGCAGCTTCCTCCTGGGAGCAGCTGTCGATCCCTGGTTGGGGAACAGGGGGGTCGGCAAAGCTGGGCGGGGAACTAAGTGGGGAAGGGACAGAGCGGAGAGGGACTGAAGAGAGCTGGGGGACCCAGCAGGTGGGGGCGAGGGAGGGGGGTTCCAGGCTTCCAGCAGGCAGCAGGGAACTGGGGGCGAGTCCTGGCTACTGACCCCGAGTTGCAACATTGACATGAACTTTTACCAGCCAAGCCACAAAACCCACCCTGCCTCCCCGCCAGCCTGTCTGGCCCCTCACCTGAGGTGTCCCACATGTTGAGCTCGATGCGCTGCTTGTCAATCTCGAAGCTCGCCGTGTAGTTCTCGAACACGGTGGGGACATAGTTCTAGGGGAGGGGATGGGGCAAGTCAGGGTCAGCCGCGGCCGCACGGGCAGTCCCGGGGAGCAGAGCGGATCTGTACCCCGCCAGGACAGACCCTTGGCCACATCCAGCGGCACCTCCAACCCTTACACCCAGCTCCCTCGGCTGCCCCCTGCCCCAATCCTCCACCCCCACACCCAGCCCTCCC